TGTTAAAAATGCGGTCTAGTCAAAGTGTTTACTGTGTACCTTTGCTCACCACAATATTTTGTGGGATTTTTTTTTAGTGCTGATTTCTTGATTTTTAAATAGCTATCGATGGGTCCTGTTATGAGGGTGAGCCATTAAAATGTCTACACTTTTGCTATAATAATCTTTTGGTTGGCTGTAATTATTGCTGCATGTGCATGTTAGAGATATGTTATTGCTTTATCAGTTCTTTGACTTTTCATCACTCAGACTTTCCTTTGCTGATCATTGCACAGTAATCTTGGCTGTGCCACTGTCTCCATTGGCAGAAAAAAAGAACAGTGAACAATCTTAAACTTTTTTATGGTCTGAAGGTGTACCAGGAGCCCAAAATTCATTGAAGGCTTTCATCACAATGTGTTTTGCTGTGTGACAAGCTGAAGCCAATAATTCAAAAACCAAATGCCAAGACCTATTGCAGAAAGGTGTTTTATTGTTGCATGACAATGCACACCCTCATACTGCTGTCCACATTTCTCAAACGCTTCAGAAACTGGGATTTCGAGGTATTGGAGCATCCTGCATAAAGTCCAGATCTCATTCCCTTACATTGCCATCTGTTTGGTCTACTTAAAGATGCCTTAAAAGGTTGTCAATTTGCCACAGACCAACATGCACAGACCAAGTAGCGTTACACACATGGCTGAGGGACAAACCCAAAACATTTTTTACTGAGGATATATACAAGTGTGTGGACACTGGAGCAAGTGCGTTGAAAAGCAAAGGGACTAATGTTGAAAAAATTATGTAACTGCACGTTCTTAACCGGTGGATCTAACCAATTGTAGAATCAGATTGCAGATAACTGACTCTCACTGTCATAAAATGAATGTCAAACTGTTTAAAGTATAGCGTACATATTAACTAAAATATTTTTCCAGACAAAAAATACCCTCCAATGTTAATTTCTTGATTTAAAAGTGGCTGTTGAGGGTTCTGTTGAAAATGCAGCCTAGTCAAAGTGTTTAAATACTGTGAATGTACTCACTTCAGTATTTGTTTTGTTTTTTTTTCAGTCAAATACTTGCACTCTAATGTTCATTTTGTGATTTAAAAATTGCTGCTTTGGGACCCTGTTTTAGGCTTAGTAAAAGTGCTTATGTGTGTATGAACTCAGTACAATATTTTTGGAATTTTTCTGTGAAATAAAACACTGTGATTTCAATTTCTTGATGATAACAATTTATGACTAAAAACATTTTTAATAATGAAAAATTAAAAGAGTGGAAATTTCTGGTCATGAAAATATTAAAAAAGCATAAAAAATACTGTTGACGGCTGGGAAAATGTATGGGTCCATGTACCTGTTTAATATTAGTGCAGAACACTGTACCTTTAATTTAAATAGATGAGTGCCGTCGATCTTAGAATCACCGCACACTTCACTCATTTGGGCAGTCACGGGGCCAAAACCAGAGTGTGGAGCCACAGTGTGGCGGTGGAGGCAGCAGCAATGGGAGGCCATACAGCACCCTATGACAAAAATGGAAACCACCAGCAGTGTGAGGAGACCTGAAAGTGGCACATGGCAGAGTGTGGCGATAGAGACAGCAGCAATGGGAGGCCGTACAGGGACCCATGACACACTCTGGACCTGGCAGCAGCATGAGGAGGCGGTACAGGGGCCCATGACAGATTACGGGCCTGGCAGCAGCATGAGGAGTCGGTACAGGGGCCCATGGCAGATTACGGGCCTGGCAGCAGCAATGGGAGGCCGTACAGGGACCCATGACACACTCTGGACCTGGCAGCAGCATGGGGAGGCGGGATGACAGATTACGGGCCTGGCAGCAGCATGAGGAGTCGGTACGGGGGCCCATGACACACTCTGGACCTGGCAGCAGCATGAGGAGGCGGTACAGGGGCGCATGACAGATTACGAGCCTGGCAGCAGCAACTTGGACAGGAGGACGTTCAGCTTCTGCACCGTCGGGGTGCGTGCTCGCAAACTGTTGTCTCTTGGAAACGGATTCCAAGAAAGACTGCTGACGGAATCCGTGAAGAGGAGTAGCAGGAGAAGGAGCATCTGAACGAGCGGAATATGCCAACAAGCGACAACAGTGGCCCATGACAGATTACGGGCCTGGCAGCAGCATGAGGAGTCGGTACGGGGGCCCATGGCAGATTACGGGCCTGGCAGCAGCTATGGGAGGCCCGTAATCTGCCAGCACCCTATGACAAAAAATGGAACCCACCAGCAGTGTGAGGAGACCTGAAAGTGGTGGCACATGCAGAGAGTGTGGCGATGGAGACAGCAGCAATGGGAGGCCGTACAGGGACCCATGAGAGACTCTGGACCTGGCAGCAGCATGAGGAGGCGGTATAGGGGCCCATGGCAGATTAGGGGCCTGGCAGCAGCTATGGGAGGCCCGTAATCTGCCAGCACCCTATGACAAAAAATGGAACACACCAGCAGTGTGAGGAGACCTGAAAGTGGCACATGGCAGAGTGTGGCGATGGAGGCAGCAGCAATGGGAGGCCGTACAGGGACCCATGAGAGACTCTGGACTTGGCAGCAGCATGAGGAGGCGGTATAGGGGCCCATGGCAGATTAGGGGCCTGGCAGCAGCTATGGGAGGCCCGTAATCTGCCAGCACCCTATGACAAAAAATGGAACACACCAGCAGTGTGAGGAGACCTGAAAGTGGCACATGTTTGGGGCATGATTCATGGCGGATTTAGTCAGTTGTGTCAGGAACTGGTGGTTTGAAATCCAGACTAATCCACGCCTGATTCATTTTCACAAACGTGAGTCTCTCCACACTTTGGGTGGACAGTCGTGTCCTCCGCGGAGTTGCAATACCTCCTGCCGCACTAAACACGCGCTCCGATGCCACGCTACTGGCCGGGCATGACAGCCTTTCAAGGGCAAATTCAGCTAGTTGGGGCCAAAGGTCAAGTTTCGTTGCCCAGTAGTCAAGGGGATTGTCTACCTCGGTTGGCAGGGTGCTGTCCAAGTAGGCCTAAGCCTGTTGTTTGAGGTCCTGCTCCAGGTCCACCTGATGCTGCTGCTGCTGCTGCTGCTGCTGCGGCTGGTTAGTAGTTTCCTCACTGCGCTGGTGAAGAAAGCTACTCATCATCGACTGCAGACTGAGGCAGCCGCTGCTGGTGGAGCTGCCACTGCTCCTACCACCCCACCCCTCCCCTGCTGCCATGGCAGCGGAACACGAGCGCACAGGGCCCACAGTGTCTGAGGATGGACGTTGGCGCAACAGGCAGAGACCAGCTGACTACATAGGTGTTTTTTATAGTACGTTATTTTGGCCTCCCTCTCAGCAGGTGTGAAAAAGGCCACCATTTTTGAACGGTAGCGGTAGCGAGGGTCCAACAAGGTGGACAGCCAAAAGTCATCCCTCTGTCTGATGGTTATTATTCGGCTGTCGCTACGCAAGCAACCGAGCATGCTATGGGCCATTTGTGCCAAGGAATGCGAGGGACTCCCTGCCTCCATCTCCACAGCATACTGCCACGGTGCGTCTAGGTCCTCTGTCTCTCTCTCCTCCTCCTCCTCCTCTACCAGATGCTCCTGCTCCTCCACTCCTGTCCGCTGAGTGGAAAAACCACCCATTTCACTCAATAATTCCTGAGCACCAATGTCCTCCTCTCCTCCTCCTCTTCTTCCAGTCCTGCCCCCACAGGGGCCATGTGGCGCGTTGAGATCTGTGCGCCACGTCTACCGCACCCTGACCAGCCATTGTTAACAGCATTTGTTCCAGGACGTGCAACAGAGGAATGACGTCGTTCATCCCCCATAGTCCTGCCGACTCACGAATAGCGTGGCCTCCTCAAAGGGCCTGAGCAAGCGCAGGTGTCACGCATGAGCTGCCAATGGCTGACATCTAAGTTACACAGGGAGTACCTTTATCTGCTTTTAACATCAGGAAATCTGTGATGGCCTTTTGCTGTTCGTAAAGGCGGTCTAACATATGTAGGGTTGAATTCCACCTTGTTGCAACGTCACAGCATGAGGAGTCGGTATAGGGGCCCATGGCAGATTAGGGGCCTGGCAGCAGTTATGGGAGGCCCATAATCTGCCAGCACCCTATGACAAAAAATGGAACACACCAGCAGTGTGAGGAGACCTGAAAGTGGCACATGGCAGAGTGTGGCGATGGAGACAGCAGCAATGGGAGGCCGTACAGGGACCCATGAGAGACTCTGGACCTGGCAGCAGCATGAGGAGGCGGTATATAGGGGCCTACGGCAGATTAGGGGCCTGGCAGCAGCTATAGGAGGCCCGTAATCTGCCAGCACCCTATGTCAAAAAATTCAACACACCAGCAGTGTGTGAGGAGACCTGAAAGTGGCACATGGCAGCAGAGTGTGGCGATGGAGACAGCAGCAATGGGAGGCCGTACAGGGACCCATGACAGACTCTGGACTTGGCAGCAGCATGTGAGGAGATGAGGAGGCGGGTATATAGGGGCTTATGGCAGATTAGGGGCCTGGCAGCAGCTATAGGAGGCCCGTAATCTGCCAGCACCCTATGTCAAAAAATTCAACACACCAGCAGTGTGAGGAGACCTGAAAGTGGCACATGGCAGAGTGTGGCGAGACAGACAGCAGCAATGGGAGGCCGTACAGGGGACCCATGACAGACTCTGAACTTGGCAGCAGCAGAGGAGGAGGCGGGTATATAGGGGCCCAGGCAGATTAGGGGCCTGGCAGCAGCTATAGGAGGCCCGTAATCTGCCAGCACCCTATGTCAAAAAATTTAACACACCAGCAGTGTGAAGAGACCTGAAAGTGGCACATGGCAGCAGAGTGTGGCGATGGAGACAGCAGCAATGGGAGGCCGTACAGGGACCCATGACAGACTCTGGACTTGGCAGCAGCAGCATGAGGAGGCGGTATATAGGGGCCCATGGCAGATTAGGGGCCTGGCAGCAGCTATGTGAGGCCCGTAATCTGCAGCACCCTATGTCAAAAAATTTAACACACACCAGCAGTGTGTGTGAGGAGACCTGAAAGTGGCACATGGCAGCAGAGTGTGGCGATGGAGACAGCAGCAATGGGAGGCCGTACAGGGACCCATGAGAGACTCTGGACTTGGCAGCAGCAGGAGGAGGCGGTATATAGGGGCCCATGGCAGATTAGGGGCCTGGCAGCAGCTATGTGAGGCCCGTAATCTGCCAGCACCCTATGTCAAAATTTTAACACACCAGCAGTGTGAAGAGACCTGAAAGTGGCACATGGCAGCAGAGTGTGGCGATGGAGACAGCAGCAATGGGAGGCCGTACAGGGACCCATGACAGACTCTGGACTTGGGCAGCAGCATGAGGAGGCGGTATATAGGGGCCCATGGCAGATTAGGGGCCTGGCAGCAGCTATGTGAGGCCCGTAATCTGCCAGCACCCTATGTCAAAAAAATTAAACACACCAGCAGTGTGAAGAGACCTGAAAGTGGCACATGGCAGCAGAGTGTGGCGATGGAGACAGCAGCAATGGGAGGCCGTACAGGGACCCATGAGAGACTCTGGACTGGCAGCAGCAGGAGGAGGCGGTATATAGGGGCCCATAGGGGCAGATTAGGGGCCTGGCCTGGCAGCAGCTATGTGAGGCCCGTAATCTGCCTGCACCCTATGTCAAAAAATTTAAACACACCAGCAGTGTGAAGAGACCTGAAAGTGGCACATGGCAGCAGAGTGTGGCGATGGAGACAGCAGCAATGGGAGGCCGTACAGGGACCCATGAGAGACTCTGGACTTGGCAGCAGCAGAGGAGGAGGAGTAGGGGGTATATAGGGGCCCATGGCAGATTAGGGGGGGCCTGGCAGCAGCTATGTGAGGCCCGTAATCTGCCTGCACCCTATGTCAAAAAAAAATTTAACACACACCAGCAGTGTGAAGAGACCTGAAAGTGGCACATGGCAGCAGAGTGTGGCGATGGAGACAGCAGCAATGGGAGGCCGTACAGGGACCCATGACTCTGGACTCTGGACTTGGCAGCAGCATGAGGAGGCGGTATATAGGGGCCCATGGCAGATTAGGGGCCTGGCAGCAGCTATGTGAGGCCCGTAATCTGCCTGCACCCTATGTCAAAAAATTTAACACACCAGCAGTGTGAAGAGACCTGAAAGTGGCACATGGCAGCAGAGTGTGGCGATGGAGACAGCAGCAATGGGAGGCCGTACAGGACCATGACAGACTCTGGACTTGGCAGCAGCATGAGGAGGAGGCGGTATATAGGGGCCCATGGCAGATTAGGGGCCTGGCAGCAGCTATGTGAGGCCCGTAATCTGCCTGCACCCTATGTCAAAAAAATTTAACACACCAGCAGTGTGAAGAGACCTGAAAGTGGCACATGGCAGCAGAGTGTGGCGATGGAGACAGCAGCAATGGGAGGCCGTACAGGGACCCATGACAGACTCTGGACTTGGCAGCAGCAGGAGGAGGCGGTATATAGGGGCCCATGGCAGATTAGGGGCCTGGCAGCAGCTATGTGAGGCCCGTAATCTGCCTGCACCCTATGTCAAAAAATTTAACACACCAGCAGTGTGAAGAGACCTGAAAGTGGCACATGGCAGCAGAGTGTGGCGATGGAGAGCAGCAGCAGCAATGGGAGGCCGTACAGGGACCATGACAGACTCTGGACTTGGCAGCATGAGGAGGCGGTATATAGGGGATGGCAGATTAGGGGCCTGGCAGCAGCTATGTGAGGAGGCCCGTAATCTGCAGCACCCTATGTCAAAAAATTTAACACACCAGCAGTGTGAAGAGACCTGAAAGTGGCACATGGCAGCAGAGTGTGGCGATGGAGACAGCAGCAATGGGAGGCCGTACAGGGACCCATGAGAGACTCTGGACTTGCAGCAGCAGCAGGAGGAGGCGGTATATAGGGGCCCATGGCAGATTAGGGGCCTGGCAGCAG